CAAAAGAATATTGCTGCATACTGATCTAAAGGAAAGACTGATGTAGCCAAAAAAAAAAAGGTGGGGTGGGGAGAGGGAGTAAGAACAAGAAGGAAGAGGAAGAAGATGAAGATGAGGAGGAGGAAAAAGATGAAGAAGATGAAGATGAAGAAGAGGAAGAAGAAGAAGGAAAGGAAGAGGAGAAGGAGGAGGAGGAGATAATGACAATGTTATTAAGTTGGGTCTAGTGCAGTGTTTTTCTTGTCTTACAAGCATTTAACTCCCCTGTACACAACTGACTCTTTTTAAAGAAACAAATTGAAATGTAAGGCTATATAAAATTTGTTTTTAAATTGTACAGTGTCTTTTTTGTTATCGTCAACACACTATCCAATGTGTCTTTAGATAGCCCTGTCCAGGTAGTATTTTCAATAGCCACTAACCTTACCTGGCACAGTATGGGGGTTGTAAATTGGCATGGAAATTTAAACAGGTTCTTATTGGTGCACTGCACAAATTAGTTATACGTGGAGATGGTAGTTCTTTCATCTTCAGCTGTCTCTGATGCAGTTTATACAAAATAATTGTTTTGATAACTGAATACAACTCTATAATTGTAAAAAAAAAAAAAAAAAACAGAGTTGCAGCCATGTTGTTGACATTTTGAATGCTTCTAAGTAAATACAATTTAAAAATTATTTTGGCTTGAGCCAGTTATTTATTAACAGAAATGTATTATGTTAACCCATGAGTTTTAAGAATTAATGAAAATAAAGGAATTACATTTTTAAAAGACAAGCTAAGCTTATTGCCTTTCTTTTTTCAAGAAAGGTTAGCTAAAAAGTCATCTTTAGTTGTAAATAGGGAAAAAGCACCCTTGCTATTCACCGTGTACCACATACCAGACCGTGTTAGCATTTTTTATAGTAGGATTTATGGGTTTGGGAGGTTTTTTGGTAGTTTTTTTTTTTTTAATGGACTCTTGCTCTGTCACCCAAGCTGGAGTGTGGTGGCACAGTCATAGCTCACTGCAGCCCCTAAATTCCTGGGCTTAAGTGACCCTCTGCCTTAGCCTCCTGAGTAGTCGGGACTGTAAGCAAGTTCTACCATATCTGTCTAATTGTTTTTTCTTTTGTAGAGACAAGGTCTCACTATATTGACCAGGCTGGTTTTCAACTCCTGGCCTCAAATGATCCTCCTTTCTCAGCCTCCTAAAGTGTTGGGATTACACACTAATTACATAGTAGACATTTGTAATAAGAATTTTAAGTCCTAGGACTAATCACCTATTAAAAATCAAAAGAGAAAATTATAAGAATGTAATACAAAATATATACCTTGGCTAAAAAAAAAAAAAATCAAAAAAAAAAAAAAAAAAAAAAAAAAAAAAAAAAAAAAATTTAAGTCTATTTGGATAAGGTTTAAACAATCCAGAAGAAATTTTAATTAAAAAAAAGAAAAACAAAAGTTTGCCCTACTCATACTATTGACTTACATTCAAGTTGATATCCTTAGTGGGAGGAGAATCACACAAAATGAGTGGGCTGATAACATTAGCCAAAATAAACATATCCATAGAAAACTATCATTCTATCTCCAAAAGAGTATTAATAGTATTTTTAGTTTATTATGTCTGCAACTTACTGATCATGCTGATATACTGGAAGTTATAGCAATAATTTTTTGTCAAGGATTTTTTTTTTTTTTTTGAGGCAGAGTCTTGCTCTGTTGCCCAGGCTGGAGTGCAGTGGCACCATCTCGGCTCACTGCAAGTTCCGCCTCCCGAGTTCATGCCATTCTCCTGCCTCAGCTTCCTGAGTAGCTAGGACTACAGGCACCTGCCACCACGCCCGGCTAATTTTTTGTATTTTTAGTGGAGATGGGGTTTCACCGTGTTAGCCAGGATGGTCTCGATCTCCTGACCTCGTGATCTGCCCACTAGTGCTGGGATTACAGGCATGAGCCAATGCGCCCGGCCTTGTCAAGGATTTTTTAAGACCCAAAAACTACTGAGAAATCTTGGTCTAAGGAGAAGAAAAGAGAGCCAAAGACTGAAGCTTAAAGAAGTCCAGCGTTTCAGATCAGATGAAGGAGCACTGGTAAATGAAGAAGGAGAAGCAGCAACTGAAGAGGCAGTAGAAAATCCAAAAGGATCTAGTATCATGGAAACCAAGTCAGTGGAGGATCTACTGGAGTGGCATGGTCAGCTTTGTTGTGCTTTGAAAAGAGGGTAAATGATAAGAAACTTAAAGTTTGTGAATTTAGCTTCAGGGAGATGATTGATAACTTTGGTTTAGCCCTTTCAGAGGAAGATTAATTAATGAATGAGAGCTAAGGAAATGGAGCTGTTGAGTAAGGACAAGTGTTGCCTTGCTGTGCTGCTGCTTATGCACAGGTAAAGACAGAGAGGATTAGGGTGGTAACAGGAGGGGAAAATAGGATAAAGAGATGTTTGTAAATTAAAAGACTTGTATATGTTTAAATGTTGATGAGGAAAATCCAGTAGAAAGAGAGGAGAAGATATAGAAGAGAAAGTGGGTAATAAAAACAGGATAAGAAAGAAATGGGCTTCTGATATTGGTGAGAGGATTGGCCCAATGGCAAGAAGTGTCACCTCCACAATGGGAGGAGGAAACAGTGGGCACAGAGGCAGGTAGGCTTGTAGTGAGGAAGGTACTTTAAGTTTAGCCTGCTCAGAATCCCATCATTTTAGTTGTTAATTCTGTGCTCTCCATTACATTACAATTCCTTGAATGTAAACTAAAACAAGAGGGTTTAAAATAACAGTATTTTGCATATTCATGTCTTCTTGCTTTCCTTTTTTATGCCCTTCCACTACCTTGCCTGTGCTCCCCTTTCCCCCATGGGACCAAGAACAAGGAGCTCTCTTAAGCTTACTGAGTAGAGTTAATAATTCAAAACCCTTTGTGGTCTTGTATAATGGTGAACATTTTTGCCAGGAATTATACCATAATTGGGCTTTGAATAAGAACAGAGTCCATATGCCACTACTCTTTTCAGGCATTAAATCAAACAGAACGGGGGAAAAAACTCTGAATTCAAGCACATAACATGTCACCCCTCCTACATCATGTCAGTGTACATTGTGAATGCTATGAAATTTAGGAGGTTTCTGGTAAGGAAAATTATTTGTGCTTTTGAAAGAGAGTAGGTAGAAATACGGGAAGTTAAACGTTAATTAATTCTTCCAAGCAGGAACAAAACTGGGCTACTGTTCAACTTCTCACTTCAGTTTTGATTCTAAATTAGCTTTAAAAATCACAACAAAGTGGACAAATAAGTAATTCTTGATGATACGGCACAAGGATGAAGAAATCATTTATTACTTTGGATGCTTCATACAGAAAACAAACTCTTCTAAATGAAACCTTGTATCAGGGAAATAATTTCATTATATCGAAATATTTTCATTGTATATTTCATTATACAGAAATATTTCTGACCTATAGAATTTTAGATTTCCATGGGCACAAAATTTGTAATTAAGTATAAAAATTTTTAGAGGCATTCTTTTTTTATACACCTAAAACCTTATATTATATTGAAAGCTCTTTAAAGGGGAACTTGTTTTTGAATAAGTTGAACTGTATCGAATTTCTGACTTTTGAGCTAAAAAGGATAGAATAGCCACAGTGGCATGGGGTTCAATTTAATACTAGAACCATGTGGCACATGATAGGCCCTTGATACATTATTTTAAAATGAACAAATAAACCTGAGAACTCAGGCATGTATTCTAGTCTATCTGGAAAACGCATTCTAGAAAAGGACATCAATAGCAAGCCAACTTCAGATATTCGACAAAACAGCACATGGTTGCAAATTAACTACTATACAAACACAAAAACTTATAATTATCAAATGAGTTCTTGACAGTTTTTGATAGTGTCAACAAAACTCAACTGTGGAGAGTCTAAAATTTACTCAGGCGGTATTCTAGAAATGCCAGCCTTGTAGAGGTCAATGAAACATCAGCCAAAGGGGGAAACAAATCCACGCTGAAGGATGTAGGTCCAATTACTGAAAGTAACTTTTTTTCCCAATTTCATTTTCATTTATTAGGAAAACATGAGAAAAAGTTCATAAACTCTGAAAATAAACAAAATACAACTTTTTGCAATTATGTTGAATTTCAACTTGAATGTTATCATAAACCTGGACATTTTTAGGTTGAGCACACTTAATACAAGTTGCAATTTTCAAGTAATTTTGAAATTCAGACATTAAGACTAGTGGCCAATCTAAATTTCAGAGCATTACAATGCCTACAAACACACACAGCCCACTCCTTATCATAACCTCCTATTTTATTTTTTACAGCACTTATCATTTAAAACAAATATTTATTTAATAAATAGGTGAATCTATTCATTTTGTAATTATATATTGAGCCCCTATCCTGTAAAAACAATTACATTTTGTTTCTTAGTCATAAATTTTTTTTAACAGATGATAGCTCTAATTCAGGATGCAGGAAATCTTCTTTTTCTTTTTATCTCACTAATGAAAACATAAACTGTTCTATGTGATAAAAGTCAGTTACATTAGTCATGTATTTTAATAAAGCCATCATAAATTACTAACTTTTAATAAAAAATTTTAAAAAGCCATGTGTGCCCATTTTTGCAAGCAATTCAATAATAAACACAGCTGTTGCACTGAGACGCCTCAGTAACTGCTCTAATTAGTCATTTTTGAATCTGTGCTCCCGTAATATATTTCTGGCACTGTGTGCTAAACATTGTACGTGGCACATCTCACTGAATTCTCACAAAAATCCTTTGTGATAGGAGTTAATGTTGTCACCATTCCTTTACATAAGGAAACTGAATCTCAGAAAGATTAAGTAACTCTCCCAGGGTGACATGACTAGCAGGAAATAAAACTGTAATTCATATCCACACCTCATCCAAATCCCCTGCCTTTAATTTCTATGCTATATGGTCTCTCACTTGGGAATAAGAACTTCTTCCTTTTTCAAACACTTAATATTGTCTCACCATCACAAGAAGTCATCAGCATCAGGAGAGGTGGCAGGCCATCTTAGGGAGGCCACAGAAACTATGGTCCTCTTCCCATGCCCTACAAGAGATACACGTTTAAATAATTTAAATATTGAAGGCTCACTCTACTTCTTAAAATATGCAGCTTTAAACCGTGTTTAAGAACTTCAAAGGTATACCCAAGTTCACAGCCCCCGTTTACAAGTTATTCTCTCTGCTTCAGAGCCATGATCGACAGCAATTCCCTTTCACTGGAATGATTACACCCTTCCCTCCACTCAAAGCATAACTTTACGCTTTTTCTCTTGGACTCTCTTCAAGACTCTCCTTCTCAATGAAATGATTCCTGAATGACCTTAACTGACCCCAGGGCGAAAAAAAAAAAAAAAAGTGTTTGCTTATTTCCACCAAAGGCTCCCCATGCTCCGGAAGAGCTGGGTGTATCTTTGTTTCTCTCCCCTGCATAAGTCAGTATCAGTGCTGTCTACCTTATTACACTGGTGCTCCAAAAGGAAAGATTCTACAGTGAGTGTGTTCTCAGTAGTTATGACTTAAATCCAGACTAAAATGCTACAGATGATTGTGTCATTCTGCTGAAAAGCAAAGTTCTGTTCACAAGGTCACCAAATCCTTTCCCGCTTTAGGTGTTTGCTATTACTGGCTGCCCCGCAGTCCTGTGCCACCTCCCAGACCAGGAAGCACATGCTGTTTCCTATCCCTCCTGCTACTTTGCAGGAAATGCTTGGCTTTGAGTAATCAGGGATGCATTGGCTGGAAATGCTAGTGGTGGAGACAGAGGGGAGGCTGACACCAAATCCAGACAGTGTAAGGACTTTTCCCCAGCCAGGTGTTTGGCTTTCTACATTTCCTCCTGCTGTTCTGCCTCTAAGTCCTCTCTACACATAAATAGTCATCTAGTCCAGTTAGATGTGAAGTCTAAATACTAATATCACTAGTAAAATACCCTGAATCATCATATTAAAATGATTTTTTGGTCCCAAATGCTGTTTACAATTTCATTCTAAATTGTTACTATCCACCTAAATCAGGAGGCATTTTGTAACTATCAAACAGCAAGAATGTTTCCATGGTTCCCTTAGGAAAAACAACATAAAATTCCAACTCACTTTAATTCTATATCCACCATCAGCAAACAAACTATTCATGGGAAGAAAACAAATTGATTTTGAGTCACAGAGGAAAGAGTAAGATAAAATTGCTAATATTTATTGTGTGTTTATTACTAGGTCAGTTCAGATTCTCCAAGAAGCAGGCACCAAGACAGAATGAGATGTGAAAGAAATACACTCAGAGAAATGCTCTTGAAGGATAAAGACGCCAAGGAGCAAGAGGAACTCTAAAAGCCTCCAGATCATGTTGCTGTTTTCAATAGTTCTTTATTTAGAACTCAATGAAATTGCCTAAGTTTTAACAATTATAATATTTTATTTCTGATTAATCAGAAAATAGTTTGCCATAAAAATTGGTCATTTCTGATATTAGCACATAAATTTGTTTTTATTGTAATTTCAAAACTAATGTCAAGACTGAGCAAATCATAGGATGGAAGCAACTGTGAGTGCCTGGGACCCTCAAGATCATCAAATTCAGCTTTCCCCACAGAGATGGCCTTTCAACTTTTGCCTGAACATTATCCTTGTGAGGGAAATCATTTCATCGCAAAGCAATCCAGTTTATTACTGGAACACTGCAATTATTTGAAGGTTTGTCTTTTTCATTTCTTTTTATGTAGCCTTTAGGGAAAATCTTCCTACAGCCTTCCACCTAGAGCTATGAGAGGGGATACTGGAAGAAAGTTATTGGGAGCCCCCTTCTTCTCTGACCTGAGCTAATGAACCCTAATTCATCTCCTGATTTCTTCTATAAAACTGTTTCTGGAATAATAACCACCTCAGTCAACCTCCTCCAGATCGCCTATAAATTTTTTAGTATCCTTCAAAATATATGGCAACCATAACTTGATTGTCCAGCCAAATGAAGCGACTACACTGAATACAGTAGGATAATCTAGTCTCTGTATTTCTCCTAATGAATTAGATTTTTGGCATCATGTGCCACAGCATTGCTTCATATGAATTGGTACTTAAAAGAAAACTTGATGCCATAGAACTATAAAATTAAATCCAGGAAGAACCTCAAAGACAATCTTCTTCCAACATCCTCTTTCTCAGATAAGGAAATTAAGATTTTAAAAGATCTTGTGCCAAAAGTCAAACAGTTAACTTGTGGCAGTTGAGATTAAATTTTAAAACTCCTAATGCAATGTTTTGTTTTGTTTTATTTTCCTGCAAAGTGTGATTGAGCCTGTTCTCCCTACCCATCATCCACTTGTTTCTTAAGCTAAGTGCAAAATTTTACATTTATCCCTTTGTATATGTAATTTAGACTTTGTGAGCTCTCTGAATCACCAACCATAGGAGTCTTTTTAATGATTAGGTGAAGAGAATTCGAAAGTGGGCTAGTAAAATACCCTGAATCATCATTTTAAAATGATTTTCTGGTCCCAAATGCTGTTTAGTCTCACTTTTCTCCCAAGGGCAGCCCCTGTGTTCTGCTCTGTCTGGGCCCATTCCTTTGCCTTGCCTACTTTCTTGGTCTTGATAGCAAAACATCTGGATCTATTGGATAACACTGCTCACCAACACTGATTATCTTTGTCTTTACCCAAGGCAAGTGTGCCACCTTATAACGGACTTTGCACTGGAAACAATGACTTACACCCTACTCGAGAGGCTGAAGTGGGAAGATCATTTGAGCCCAGGGGTTCAAGACTGCAATGAGCTAAACTCATTCCACTGCACTCCAGCCTGGGTGACAGAGTGAGATCCCTTATAACAATAATAAATAAATAATAAAGGAGTTTGCTTCTATTGATCTCTGAGTCTTTAAATATGTTTCCCACCTACTCATTCTCCTTAGTTGAGACCTTAGCAAGTGTTCTGACTAAACAGCTTATCCTAGCAATGGTTGATCATGTCATTTTACTAGCTCACTTTACCTCCCCAGAGGGCAGATCCTCATTCCCCAATAGGTTTTGGTGCCATTAATTCATAGGTTTATCTCCACCTATTCATGTCCATCTACATTTACTCAATTATTTTTAGCATGTTTGCTATGAGTAAAGCACATATGAGCTTTCACTTTTTCATTTGGTGGCTTGTTTTGGCTCTTTAAACTTATAGTTAAAGCCTACTGATTTCTTCCCAGGTTTGAGTATTTCACCCTATTGTTAAAGTCTACCAATTTTTTCTAGTTAATGTACAAATGCATTTTAAGTCAAAGGAAACCAATACTCTGAAGCCAAATGTAGCATGTATACATCTTAAATATGTAAATGAGAAATATTTTGCCTTTAACTGGCAGGTATGGATTTATCGGTTTGCTAAGAATTTAATAGTACTCTTGCTGTAGTTATTTGCTCGAAGATACTCACTGGAACCACAATTTAATAACATGGCCTACACAGCCAATATACTAAGTTGCTGTTGTAGAGGACTCAAGTCATTAACTCAGTAATTTCATTTTAGCTTATTTGTGTTGGTGGTGGTGGTGTTATTTTACTTCTGTTCCTCCTTATATTCCTGGCCCCCACCAAAGATAACATGGAGATTAAATGATTCCATATTCTATGCTAACTATGGTCAGGAAGGAAAAAGAAAACTATCTAGAGAGCACTCCCTCTCTCAATAGCTTCTGTTCCCTACCTGCCTATTGAGGCTTAGCAGGAGACAATGCCTTGAAGGACGACTAAGTTATTTAAAGACTGCCATTACTTCCTGGTAACAAAATGAAACATGGCAAGTTACAATTTTATTAATATGAGCTTTATTTTTCTTTCTCTCAATTATCCACATATCCATCTATTTATCCAAAAGCAAACAAGCAACATATTTCAGAAGCCCCTCCTACGAGCTCAGCAGTTTGATCTAGTTAATTCAAAGGAACATTAGGGTGAGAAAATCTTCGAATGCTCTGAAATTTAACATAAATTCACATGAGAAGGTATGAGAGTTTTATACTTGGTTTCAGAAAAGAGAGATCCCTATGAAAACTTTGAATTGTTGGAGGACGATATAGTAATCCCAGCTCAATTCACTCTGCATTTGGTTGACATTGACTAGTATACCCTGATATATCCTAATACACCTACTGTAAATTCCTTATCTTGACTTAGCTGATCCTCTAGATAGAAGCTTTGCTGCCCCTACACTGGTGCTCCCCAGGAATCATGAAAAACAGTTCTAAACGTTTAGGGGAAGTCACTCAAACATACCAAACATGGGAATTATAGAGGCACATGCCACTGAACTACTTCTGAAATTAGTAATCTGATTAATTATTTATTCCTTGCAACAACTCAAGGCAGTCTAGTACAGAGTAAAGAGCTAACCTATCTACATCTAAATCCTGTCTCTGATTCTTACAAGTTGTGTAACCATGTACAGTTTTCTTAACTTTTTTGTCTCAGTTTACCTATAAAACGAAGATGTTAACAGTACTTATCAAGAAGGTTAAATAAATTAATACATGTAGAAAACTTAAATAGTGTGTAGTAAGTGTTATAAGTGTTAGGTATTATTTTCCTAATCTCAATCTTGTAATAATAAAACCTCAACCTTCTAATAATAAAAAGGATAACATAAACATATTCCATTATGTTTAAACTCCATACCATGTGACTCCTTAGTAGTAATTCTAATTGTCTCAGTCTGTTTTATGCTGCTCTAACAAAACACCTAAGACTGGGTAATTTATAAAGAAAGAAATGTATTTGGCTCATGAATGCATTTGGCTTAGGCTGGGAAGTCCAAGATCAAGGGGCTGTATCTCGTGAGGGCCCTCTTGCTGTGTAATCCCATGGCAGAAGACAGGAGGGCAAAAGAGCATGACAGAGGGGGAAGAAGGGGACCAAATTTATCCATGTATCAGGAACTCACTCCTGTGACAACTAATTCACTCCTGCACTAATGGCATTAATCCATTCATGAGGCCAGAGCCCTTATAAACTAATCATTTCTTAAAAGTCCCACCTTTCAAACCTATGGCATTGAGAATTAA